GGATAAAAGGATGGGGTTTGTTCATAATGATTGGACCTATCCCTCTACATCATGGCATCTTGCTTAAGGCGTTACTCTGTTCTTGTTAACTTAATACACTAGATGCATGCTAGATAGCGGTCGATGTGTGGAGTAATAGTAGTAGATGCAGGCAGGAGATGGTCTACTTATCACGGACATGATGCCTATATACATGATCATCTATACCAATATAAAAAGACCCAAAGGGGCAGATCCAACTGATCTCGGCCATCGAACTAAGTCAATCCAACGACCTAGACTGCTCCAATGGCGAGTGTTAAACGTGTTTAACGTGCAATTAATATCATACCAAATATTGCACTAATCACAGGATTGACATAGAAATAATGGCATACCTAACATCCACGTGCAATTAATATATTACCTAAATATTAACGTGCGTTGCACGTGCGCATTTACTAGTTGCCTTAGATATCGTCATAACTATGCACTTTCTATCAGTTGCTCAACAATAATTTGTTTACCCACCGTATGCTTTCTTTCAAGAGAGAAGTCTCTAGTAAAAACTATGGCCCCCGAGTCTATCTTTTATCATATTATTTTTAGATCTATAAAATCAAAAACACAAAAAATACCTTGCGGCAATTTATTTACTTTTATTTTATTTGGCACTTTTACTTATCTTTTATATCTATCACTACCTGATCTCATCCTTGCAAGTAACTGTGAAGGGATTGACAACCCCTTTATCGCGTTGGGTGCAAGTGTTTGTTTGTTTGTGTAGGTGAAATTATTGGAGACTTGTGTGTTCCTCCTACTGGATTGATACCTTGGTTCTCAACTGAAGGAAATACTTATCTCTACTTTATTGCATCAGCCTTTCCTATTCGAGGAAAAAATCAATGCAAGCTCAAGAAGTAGCATCCATCGCTGTAGATCAATGGCTCGCAATATGTTCAGCTTAGCCCCTATGCTAGAGAAAGAAAAGTTGGCCGCTAATGGTGAAACTATGCGGATTGGATCCGGAACCCGAGATTTGTTCTTAGCAGTGCTAAGAAGGAGTATGTGCTAGATCAACCCCTGGGTGATGCTCCTACAAAGGATGCAACACCAAAAGAAGTTGCTGATTACGGTACTCGTAGTGATGACTGTGATTTAGTCCAATGCCCTCATGTTAACTTGCATGGATCCTGAACTACAGAAGCGTTTTGAACGATCTGATACTCAATTGATAATTGGGTCATTGGAAGTTCTGTATAAGAAGAAGGCAAGGACTGAGCGTTTTAAATTAATGAAGGCCTTGATTGAATGCAATATGAAAGAGGGTTCCTAAATGAGTGAGCATATAGTAAAGCTTGCTGGCTATGTTGATAGACTGGCTTCTCTAGAATTTGGAATTCCTCCGATACTCGGTACAGATATTTTGCTTGCTTCACTTTGTCTATCTTATGATGGTTTCATCATGAATTACAACATGAATGGGATGGAGAAAAGTGCAAACGAGCTGTTTGCTATGCTCAAAACCGCGGAAACTGAAATGCAGAAGAACAAACATAGTTGATGGTCAATAAGACCACCAGTTTCAGGAAGAAGGGCAAGTCCAATAATAAGAAATCTACAGAAGCCAGTAAGACCGAGTCTTAAAAGAAGAACAAGGGCAGAGCCTCTAAAGAGCCTGAATGTTTCTACTACAAGCAGAAGGAACACTGGAAGCATAACTGCAAGAAATATTTGGCAGATAAGAAGAATGGTTCTTTCAGTAAAGGTATAATCGTTATAAAAAGTTAATGTTATACTACTTGTAAAATTCTGTATGTCATGAGTATTTGATACTAACCGGTTGCTCCCATTTTGCAAAACCGATGTAGGGACTACAAAGAGCTCACAAGGAGAGAAGAAATAAAGTCGTGATATAAATCGAGAATGGTGATGGGTCGCTACTCGGAGACCATCAGAGTTATCCCTTTAGTTTATCTTCAAGATTTATCTTAGACTTGAAATAATAGTTATTTTGATTTGGAGTTATGTAATACATTATCCAATGGATTATGTCATGGATATTCTTATAAGTTTTAAACAATAATTGTTTGGATTATTATAAGAATATGTTTTTGATTAAACCTCTATTTTGTGATGGTTTATTCATGATGAATCTTGAATTTTGAGATCTATAACATTAAAGCTAAACATCTTGAAAAGACTAAATAAACTAGTTGTGTGTGGCACTGCTTTGTTACATCGGATCTTCATAGAGATGAAGTATAAAAATATTTTAAACTGACTGAATACATTGAGATGTATAAAGTCCGATGAATATAGGTGTGGTGAATATTTATACTCCATCAATGTTATGAGTAAATATTATTTACTTGATAAAACATAAGGACTAGAATATTTGAAATAGTTCAAAGAAATTCAGGATAAAGATATAATATCATTATGAGGGAAGATAAAAGGGTTCTTCTTTCATGAAGAAATATATCTAAGCCATAAGTTTAGCAAGCAATTGAATAATTGTGGAATTATTATTATCGATCTGCTCTTATTTTTTTGCGTATTTATAGATGAAACAACATAATATTCACTAAATAGATGTACCATCTAAATGTCTGATAAAACTATAAAGAGTTATAGAATATTTCAGACCAATGCTTGATTGCAGGTTTTGTGTTCCTCTCACAAAAATCAAAGGACAAAAAGTTTGTCAGAAAATAAATATTTTTCAAGAAAATCTTAGCTCGTTAAAGGAGTAAGTGAGAGGATAATACAACTTATTAAGATTACTGAATCTCTGGCTTAAATTGTAACAAGATTAAAACAAATGTTCTGGACGATTAGCTCCGGACAGCGAAGCGTTGCCGGGTCGTGAAGGTTGCATGCTTGCAACCAAGTAGAAATGTCGTGCTTTTGGTCTTCAGTTCGAGGGACTGTTCATGGGCCGTTCGTGGGATCATCCATCGACGGTTTGAGGGACTCCAAGTATAATCTACACCAACACGTTCTTCATCGTTGCAACTCGGTGACGGTAACGATCGTGATCCCAACCCATTATGCATCTTCATATTGATCTTGGGTGTGCGCAAGGGCGAATTTTTTGTTTCCTACTATGTTGCCCAACAACTAGGTCATCGAAGTTCACCGAAAAACTTGAGCACAGCTCGGGTGTGGACGAACTCAGCGTTCCGGTGCTCCTCGACGGTGGCGAGGTGGTCGGACGGACGCGGACGGCGACGACAGGGCTCCCGGTGGTCCTAGTTGGCGCTGGGGTGGACGGAGTCGATGGTGCGGGGCTTCCGGAGTTGCAGACAACATCAAGAAGCTTCGGGTTTGGACCCGGTGGTCGTTCCCGTGTGCCTGAGGATGAATGGATGGGTCAGGAAGATGCACATGATCACGACGATCAAGATGGACAAGATGCACATCCAAATGGATGGCGGAGCTCACCGGTCTCCGATGAAGGTGGTGTTCCAGGCGGCAAACCTCGCGTCAAAGATGTCCAGAGGACTCGCTGGAGTGTGGTGGATACGGTGATGGTGGCTGGCCTCGGGGGTGGCTACAGTGGCCGGAATTTAGTGGTTAGGGTTGCAGTCAGTGCGGCAATGGCGAGCTCGCGACAGAGCAGCCTGCCGGGAAAGGCGAGTGAGAGCGAAGGGGTTTGAGAGAGTGAGGGGAGAGCTATTTATTTGACATGGCTGCTAGGCTCGGGGCGGCTGGAGTGCGCGAGTGGGAGATCATGGGCGCGGGCGTGCTCGGGTTCGTGCTCGGGTTCGGCCGGGGTTCGGCATCAGTTGTGGGAGGTTAGGGAGAGAGCTGACGCATGGTGCCCGCGCGTCGGTGAGAGAAGAGAGAGAGAGAGAGAGAGAGAGAGAGAGAGAGAGAGAGAGAGAGAGTGGGCGCACACGGCCTGGTTGACTAGTTGGTTGGGCCTTCTTTTCTTTTCCATTTTCTGTTTCTGCCTTCTGTTGTCATTTTTCAAATCTGAATTTGAATTTTCTTCAAAAGAGAAAGTGTTTCTAATTACCCCGGCAATATTCGTGACTAGATGAACATTTCCCCAAGGGTTTCTCACAAATTGCAATTTGCCAAATTAACTAATGTGCCCATTTGCAAAGTTGTTTTTATTTCTTTTTGTGTTTTATTTATTATCTCCAGAATTTTACTTATAGTTTAATTGCACAAATTATACTATTTTCAAACCCTGGTCCACTCAAAATAAATAGGGCAAAACATAACCCTAGATGCAAGTTTTTCTGAAAATCATTTTTAGGGTGAGGCCTCCATGGCTTCTAATTAAATTCAAATGGTAGTTTGAATTCAAATGTTGTCCTTGTTAGCCTCAAAAGCCAAATATGCAAGGAAATCATGGATGCATATGCTTCTAATTTCACAACCAAATTTTAGGAGAAATTTGGGTTGTGACGGGAAGGGAGGAGGCAGAGCTGGCGGCCGGAGGGTGGAAGGTAGAGATGGCGGCGGAAGAGGGTGGGGAGCCATGGCCGGGAAGAGGAGAGGGTCGTGAGTGCGGGAGAATGCACGCAACTAGGTCTCCGCAACTAGAGCGGCTTCCTTTTATACGCCAACAAATGAAATGACGAAAATGCCCTGGTGGGGGCATCAAATTTACAATTAGTTGCAATTGATTTTTTTTTGAGAACGTTGCAATTGAAAATTTATCCAAAGGCCAAGGCGATCGGGCGATGATCTGTTTGCTTACAGCAAACCAGCCCGAGAACGGACGGCCAGGATCGCACAGGAAAAATGATCCGACGGGGTAACGTGAATCTAACAATGGGGTGAATAAATGAGGAGATGATTAAAAAAAACAGATTTGGGTCGTGCAAACAGAGGGTGCCCGTGAGCCGCGACGACCGACGTCGACACGACCATCGTAATCGCGCCGCTCCCACATACCACCTCGCCGGCATCCCTGAATTCTCCCGTCCGCCCATCAGATCTCACCGCCGTCGTCACCCCTGCTCATCGCCGTATGGTCTCATCCCAAATCTGAAGCAGCAGCCATGTCAGCCGGCACCGCTACGCCGGGACTCGTTGTCACCGCCACCGATCCCATCCGCTCTTTCCTCTCCTCCGCCGCCGGCTCCCCCGACCTCTCCGACGACCTCCGGGGTCTGGCCTCCGCCCTCTCTTCTGAGCGGGCCGTCCCCTACCGCTCCATCCGCGCCATCTGGTGCGCCGACTGCTCCCGCGGCCGCCCACCTCTCAGACAGCTCTTGCAAGGCGCTCAATTCGTGCTGTCCAGTCCCAAGCCCCGCGAGAAGGTGAGTTGCAGCCACGGCGACACCCGTGGTCCGAGTTGGTGAGGTTTAGCCAGATATAAGTTTTTGATTTGGCTGTGCCCGTGCAGAGCGATGAGCTCAAGGCGAGGCTGGAGAAGCTCCGGGAGATGCAGGAGAGGAAGGAGTACGCCGAGCTCGTCAAGGATGTCGCGCCTAAGGAGGACAACACCGAACCCTTCTCCTCTTACAAGGATCAGCTAGGATTCGGTACGAATACTCATATTCATGCTTTCTCCTAAACTGGATGTGCATTGTTTGGTTTGGAAACAAAACTGAGCCCTCATATATAAGCCTGATTGCCAATGCAACAATATGATGCACAATTTTTAGAACTGAGACAATGCAAATAGGTTTCCATGTGGGAATAAAACTTAGATGAATCACTAGTGTTAGCAAGCATCAGAAATTCAGAACTACTCCCTCCGTTCCTAAATATAATTCCATATTGTTGCATCAGCACGGAAGTATGTAGTCCATATTGGAATCTCTAAAAAGACTTATATTTAGGAACGGAGGGAGTAGCAACGACAGGGGCTGAGACCCCAGAACAGGTTCCAAACAACAGGAAGCTTATCTTCAAAGATAGCTCACAGAGTCATTGGCTTAACAGAACAAAACCTACACAGTTTTACTGGATTCCTCCAAAACACATAGGAGAAATCGCAGCCTTCAGATTTCTTCATCACTGTTCACCCTCCATCCCATTTCAGCCATGGGATCATCGTTCTTCATCCTCGCATGGCACAGGACACTTCATTCACCACCTGCTTGAACAGCCTGGCTCCCAACTTGAGCTCCTCTTGGGTTCCTTGCCCTGCAAAATAGATCATGCCGATAGCCAAGGCCTATTTTTTTCTAGTACTCCCTCCGTCCCAAAATAAGTGTCTCAACTTTGTACTAACTCTAGTACAAAGTTGTACTAAGCTTGAGACACTTATTTTGGGATGGAGGGAGTACTAATTACATGCATCATTATACGTTTTCTAGATAGATCATAGGATTGCTGCAGTTCCAACCATAACCAGCCCTTTCTCATTCAATTACATGCATCATTATACGTTTTCTAGATAGATCATAGGATTGCTGCAGTTCCAACCATAACCAGCCCTTTCTCATTCTTTGCTAATTGAACGAGCCAAGCCAGTTATCAAACAAATGAACAGTGTATCATGGCTTAGAGGCGAATGCAAAAGCTTAGCAGACGACAGTTCTTATCAGCGCCAGTAAGCATACAATTTGTTTCACTAAATAGGAGGTGCTAGCTGCTACACAAAGGATAAACTGATGGCTTATTATTCAACACTTCAATTGCCCATGGCTTGGCTTGTGATGTAGCACAAAATAGCGTGACACTAAATTGTGCGTGTAGATGTCCTGACCTTTCACGGTACATGCAAAACAACAACGAACAACGGCAGCAATAGTCGCAGGAAAAATAGACCTAGAAGAACAAACCTTCAGATCAAACGAAAGTAAGAAGCCGAAGGAGAAGACTTGCACCGACACTGATACAAGATCAGACGCATGCACAGTAGCAACGAATCCCTAGGATTTACAAGAACACATCCTTGGTGCCTCCCAATGTGAAGCGTTTTCTGGTAGTTTATTCAACTCAACTCAAAACTCCAAAAACTGATCTCCTGGGACAAGACTGACGACCCTTTTTTATCTCCGACTCACACCAGGTGCAAGGGCCAAAAAAAATCTAACCGACTTAAAAGCTGAGGTTGCTAACAGAACTTCTATTCTAAGTAGTACTCTTTAATTAGGAAACTAATTAATCTATCCAGCCACGTTGATCACATAAGCCTAATTTAGACTAAAAAGACTATTTGTTTGCTTGCACTCTTGGAGTGCTCCATCATCAGACATAAAAAGTAGTTCCAATATTAATTCACTGTGTCCTTCTTTGGTTCAATTGGTGAAACCTCAAACCAAAATGAGCCAAGCTGTAACATGTTCGAAAGATTATAACCAGCATCCGGTATACTTGCATCAAAACAAATGGTCTTGCTTATCTTCTGTTCAACACTTGCAAAGTAAACTTGCAGTACTTTGCACGGGAAAGATAATAGCTGCATTGGTGGACTCAGCTTGCATACATACATGTATGCAATCTGTAATTGTAGGATTACATTTGTGAGATTGCTATTTTATTGTGAGATCGATATTTTACCGCCTAGTACTCCCTCTAAAGAAATATAGGAGTGTTTAGATCACTACTTTAGTGATCTAAACACTCTTATATTTCTTTACAGAGCGAGTACCTTCTACTCAATCTTTGCAAGCACAATGAAATATTGAGATTTCATCTGTTCCCTTCCCGGTTGGTAGGACCAGGATGTTACCCTTTATACATGAAATTTGATCCAAGTTTTGGGATTTTCGAGTGAGCAATGCCCGACTATGTTTTAGTAGTTAGAAGTATCTTATTCTCCTTAGCGCACTATGATGTTTACTCCTGAGCTTAGACTGCAAGGGGTTAATGTTATGTTTCATTTGTTGATGGGATGTTTCCCCAATTTCAGGTCTGCATGTTGTGGTCATAATGTTCACGGGTTATTTGGTGGGGTTTGCTACTTTCAAAGCTCTGTTCAGCAACAGTCCTGTCATGGTAAGTCAAGAGTACCTAGTTGCTTGTTCTTCCATTATGGAACTCCGTAGGGTAATTTTTGTGCTAGCGGTGTGGCTTTACTCATACTGCATTTGACCCATCCTGCAAGGCACTACTATGGTGCAGAAGGCTGCTTTACGTAGTAAAACATCTAAATATAACAAGTGCGGCCTTGGTATTATATTTCAGAATGCTGCTGGAGGCATCTTAGGAGTGGTGGGTGGCATGCTGATGGAAACAGTTCTTTTCATCATCAGATCATCCAGTAAAGAGTTGTCGTCTTCGGTTCCAAGATCCAAGAAGCTTCAGTAGACACTGATCCGCTTTGATTTTTCATGTGTACTTTACCTTGCGAAACATTAGTATGTGAAGTTCTGGATCGATCAGATGTATGTAAGGAAATATAGTTGATTATCGAAGGTATTGAATGGGAGATTATGTTTGCAGGGCTTGCATTTACCTGGATACTAAGATACCAAGGTTTCTTGTTGAGCGCCTTATTCCAAAGTGCTATTGTGAGCTCGAGCTCACATGCTCCCGGAGATGAACATTAAAATCCAAAAAATAATAAAAATATTCAAAAAAAATCTGATTTTTTTGTCAAGAAACATTGATTATTTTTCTACACGCGTGGAAATTTTCGTGATGGAATCACGTTTGTGGATGTCTCAGCAAAAAAATATCGATGCTCCAAAATGCTTCCAAAAACACTTCTTTTTAAAGTATCGATTTTGTTATTTTTGCCAGCACCTGCATAAATGTGATTTCATCATGAAAATTTGCATGCGCGTAGAAAAATCATCAATGTTTCTTGATTTTTTTTGGATTTTTTACTATTTTTTCAAATTTTATTGTTCATCCAAGAGCATGTGGGCTCGAGCTCACATACTTCATGTCCCACCTTATTGGTCTATATATATTGTGCACAAAGGCCAAGTAAGAAACGTGCATTTCTGATTCGTGAATTTCTAATGATCGCCATGTCCTACATGCTGGATCCATGTAGGAGTGAGAGTTGCAAAGGAGAGATAAAGCGGGCAAAATCGAGAAGTTTGTGAGGTCACTTTGCTTCACAAGAAGCAGATGCAAGGCTCTCGAGTTGTACTTCTCGAAATTCCGCTATGTTTATTATCTGTGTGATGTTCTCAGAATCAAGCTTTCTTTCGAAAAGCCAAAGACAAGCTCTATCTTAATCTCTTTTTTCTTTTCGAGAGCAAAGCCCAAAACAAATCAAAATGCAATCTCCTAAGGGTTGTATGGGTGTGTTCGGATGGTAGCAGTATTTAACCTACGAACTTTTTGGTCATGATAAAAAGTTGTCTATGTTTAATTGGTTGCCAATTCTGTATCATGTCAATGGCTCAATGACCTTTCTTGCTAATTCTGACCAATGCATGAGCAATCTACGAGCTAACCTCTAGGCGTCGTTTAGGCTGGTCATAGTGAAAGTAACTTAGCAAGTAACATAACACATCTCAAGAAAAATTTACTTACATGACATGTATTTAATGAGGAGAGAGATGGTTGAAGTAACATAATATGTTACTGTAACATAACACATCCCAAGGCAAAATGAGTCTACATCTTAATAAATGATGGCTTGCATGACATCACATATATATTACTCTCCACTATGAAGGTAGTAACATAGACTAGTAACATAAGCATGTTACTAGTCTAAGTTACTCCCCACTATGACCAGCCTTAAGCGACAAAGGAAAAAACGATATTTAGGTGACTGAGGCAAAATGGCTGTTTGGCTGCGTGTGCTTAACTCACTTATGTTTCATATAAGAGCAATTGTTATGGAGTCGTCATAGTGTTTTAAAGATTGTGCCAAACATAGAGTCGTCATAATACAGGTTTTGTATTTTTTTTGAGACAAAATACGGCTTTTATATTTGCCTAGCAAGTAGGCCCACATATTATTGGGCCATACATTCTTTCTATCCTACTAGATGACCCGGTTGCGCCAATGGCGCAAGAAGCAAATTAGAAAGAATGTTAGTAGTGAGTAAGTAAAAGATGTAACTGGAAATATAATACAATGTGGATTGTATTACATCATGTATTAACCACAAATCATGAAATTAATACCAGAGAACCAAATAATGTCACCACCTCTGTACTAACAACCAACATTTTAGCATAAGGAGTATCACATGAGTGTTTAATTGCACATCAAGAGTATCACAATTACAACTAAAGAGGCATTGTCCTCACTGCTGCCCCTGAGCCCTTCACAGAGTTTCAAGCCTCGCAACTTCTTCCTCCAGCTCTGCACATGACCCTCGGTTACGAACCTCATCCCTCAACTATGATTATTTCAAGATGAAATCAACATGCTATTTCTCTCACATGGAACATGTTTAGAATTTAGTCAGTCTCGCTAATCTTTCAGCTACAAAGGCAGAAAGAAAAATGGCATAATCAATAACTAAAAAAAAACTGGAACAATAATGCTTGTAACAATAATGGCTATATTTTTATCATCAAATTTCAACAATAGATATCTCTCCTCCTATATCCCTCAAAGAGCAAAAATAACAAAATGAACTTTGATGTACACAAACACATTCAAATAAGCAAATCAGAGCAAGGCAATATGCATCATACCTTCAGGATGCCAAGCGGTCGATTAGTAATGCTAAAATGAACCCATCAGCATACCTCCCACCTAATTTTATTGGCCCTATCTCTTCTTTCTCAAGTCTGCACTCGTTCAACCAGTAATCCAATTAGTTATACATGCACACAATAATCAATAGTTTCCCTTCTCCCTATTTCTAATTTGGAAAAATCACTATATTTTTCCCCTATTTGTAGTTTACACTGAAATCTGAAACCAGTGTGTGCAAGTATGTTTAAACACCCAGCCAAAAATCTGAGAAAAGCAAAATAAGAATTTGAATGCCCAAGGAAAATTAAACTTGCTCTCTCTCCCTATTCTCAGCCATACATGCACCAGACAACATATATATATATATATAGAGAGAGAGAGAGCGAGAGACGATCAAATAATTTTATAGGTCCTCCTTGACTTGGCCGCTTCAAGCTGTGCTAGAATTCATGGGATGGCAGAACACCTTTTTTAGTACAAGCACACTGCAAGCCACCATCCACCCTTGCTTATTAATGAAATAAAATAAAGTATTCCAAGAACATGGATCAGTTATAAAAAGTACCGATATCATGTATGCATCGTTCTGATGCAGAGGCCGGGGATCTCCCCCTTTTCGAAAAAAAAGTATATAATACAAAAATAAATATTCTTTGGAAGGATATAGTCATAGATATATCAAATAGACATAGTATACGTTCCAATGATAATGTCATACCTGTAGAAGAGACATATCCTCAAGAAACGGTGCTCCAAATGAATATTGCCATATTTGTCCATAGTAAATAATCCATTACAGCAGAAATCAGAAGCCAACATCAGTGTGGTTCGCAATAAGAGGAGGCCATTCTGTTCATGCCTAGCAGTAGCACAACAGCGACATGAAGACAACCTACTTTACATGGCAAAAGATCCAAGTAAGAAGAAAATCTAATGTCATATATGGATACACTTGAGTTGTTATAAATACTTAGGAATTCAGGATGGCAAATTTAAGCAAGAAAAACACACTGGAGCTGTTATATTTACTTAGGAATTCAGATTATTGTGTTTCCTATAGAGGCCCTATAACCTGAATAAACGTAGCTGCACATAAGATCAAGTAAAAAAAAGCGTTAGTAAATTCATGAAAGGAAGATGTGAAGATAAAAGTCATGACAGAACTGTCCAGATTTTGTATCAGCCAGTCATATATACAGGACCAAGAAGACTGCACCCAAAGTTTGATATTTCAATCAGCTTAATTAATAATTATTTGGCACGCATCTTTGACACAGCACTGCCTTTAACTGTGTTCTGCGCCACAGAAAACACAAACTAAAATTGATAAAGTTGAGACAATAAGGGTACATATATTGCATTAGTAAACAAATAACAATAGAATGTACTTTTATGTAGAATTAAAAGTGCGGAGAGAAAATAAATAAACCCGAGGGAAAACTATCTATTAGTCCTCATAAATCAAAACACAACATCTTCACGCTTTCTCAGTCAATAGTCTACTCAAATGTAATTAATATATAGCAGATCAATGACAAAAACACGTGCCAAAACATGCCGACCAAAATAAAGAGGTAGAAAGCCTATTTTAAATCCATGACTGGTTACAAAGTTGCATCAACCTACTACATTAAATATATAATGGCAGTTCTGGATGTTGCTTAACATGGAGCATAGTTTGATGGTGCAGTGCAACCTCATAAACTCTGCATACAACAACCTGTAAAGAAATATGAACCAAAATAACGTGTCATTGCTTCAAATGATATAACATACCAGAACGCCATTTCTTCATATCCCATCTCTCGAACAGAGGCATGCCGAATCCTTCCAGTAAGAGGTTGCCAGTGCGTACATCAAGCCATTGGCGAAAAGAACCGGAGAGACCAACCTGCAAAAATAATTGCAATTCTTTTACAGCAACGAATCTTGTGCAAGCAAATGACGTGAAGGGAACAAAAGATAAGCAATCTACATGGTTAATGAGCAGTTAATGAGCAAAGGTGCTCCAGGGCAGAAGGAACTACACACAAACTCATGGAGAAGCAACCTGAAATTAGTAAAACAAAGTGGCAGCTAGAAACTAACCTGAACTAATAAGAACATGCCATGGTAAAGCATGAGAAACAAATACGGCGCATTTTTTTAGTGATGTAGGGTCACGGCCTTGTTGGCGAGGTCTGCAACTCCTTCTCCGGTCCTCTCTGCTCTCCTCTGCCTCATCTCATAACTACTTCTACCAATTGTTGATTGGGCTCGGTTGCTGTCAAAATCAAGACAATTGCATTCAAGCACAACGCAGTAACTTATTCAAGAAGGAACAACAAGCTATAGACCATGAATTAACTCTGTAACAACTATAGGGAAACTAAATCTAGCTTAGACTGACTATGTGTATTGACACCAATATTTCCATCAGTTAACCGGATTAACAATTCATAATGAATACATTACTCAACACTGGTATACCCAAACCCCAATCAGATGAGTCAGAGAACTATTGAAAAAGAATACCATCTCTAAAGAAGAATGCAATTCTAAAAATGCTTGGAGATTCTTGTTAGTCTTAATAAACACCTTTTTTCTCAAAGAATTATATAAGAACACGCTTCACTTCAGATCCAAGACATGATGTACTTTCTCCAAATGGTGCTAGCTAACAACACCTTCATACTCTAGAAAGAACCCAAGA